TCTATGATTCTATGATTCTATATATACATTCATATGTGCACACATATACATGCATGCACATACATAAATACACATATGTTTCTTAATATATGTGTATAGATCTATATTTTATATATATGTATACATCAATTCGTTGTTACTGATATGTTCAGTAAGTATAGAACCGAAAATAGTGTTCAGAGTTCAACAGTCTGAACACTAAAAAGCAACCAATAAATCTGTCAGAGATGGTATTTTGAATTAAATTTCTGCCCATGTGTTTGCTCTTTGGACTTCCATTGATATAATAGGTAACAACTTAAGTTTCACGAAGGTTGGACTTAAACCAAGACAGATTTTAGATACTGGAGGTACCTGACTCTTGGACAGATTAGAGAGGGGCAGTTTAGCCTTGGAGGTGTGAGTTCATCAAACTTCAGGTGAGCCTCCAAACCTTGTAAGCCTTACTGCAGCATTCAGCTGACAAACCTTACTGTGAACTGAACCCCTCCAGGTTTTCACAGCCCTAATTCAAAAGTACTGTGTGTGAGAGTATATATATTGAACAGACAGCAGCCACTGAAATATTGCTTTATGTGAAGTGACATGCCAGGAAATTTCCCTCGAGACTTGAAAATAACAGATATCTGCTGAAGTAAGAGAAGAACAAAACTAATACAACAACTCTTTGGCAGCCTGACCCCTTGCGAGATCTACCCTTCCTTCCCCTGGAAAAAGAAAAATAACCATTACACCTGGAGAGCTAAGTACATATAAAAGAGAGGGAGAAAAAATAAACCTTTTTGACAGTTATAATCCCTTCCTGTGTGTCCTTGTCAGTGACGATATCAAACATGTCTGATCCATCCCCATTGGAGATGTTATACTCAATCTCTGCATTTTCACCCACATCAGGGTCATTGGCTTTAATTCTGCCAAGAGGAGTCCCAGGTGGTGCAGACTCAGGAGAGCTGAACTGGTAGGTGCCTGGAAGAGTGAAATCAAGCATTTATTATTTTGAGAAGCTTTGTTCTTCTGAATAACAAACATCTTCAATTTCACCTGGATTTTTTAAGTAACTTGAAGTTTGAAACACTTTAAGAAAAATGCTCTTAGTCATCATACTGAACTTTAAAACAGGGTTTGGTGTTGATTGACAAACTGTCACAAAAATTTCAAGTAACTCCTTAAAGCCATTTAGTACTGTGCTTTTAATGCTTTTTTTCTTTTCTTTTCTTTTCTTTTTTTTTTTTTTTGTTCTTCAGCTATAAGCTCAACAATAAGGCACCAGTTCTAACCTTGATTATTTAACAGTGTATATATTTTTTTTTCCCTCTCAATTTTCTAGAAATGTTCCCAGATATATTTAGAAGTAGCAGGGGATTTTGTTTTGCTTTCTCAAGGCACAAGAGTTCTAGAAACCAGTGTGGGTTTTGGAAAGAGACTAAAATAGAATAGGCTTTTTTTTAATTATTCTTTTGAAATATATATTCAAGATTTGTAGGTGTTCTGTGTGAAAGTAATTCATTCATCCATTATTGGTAATACATATTAAAGAGATATGGTAAAGAGCATTTGGATAGATGTTCATGTTAATTGCTATCGTTAATTGGAATGCAGATACATTCAGATTTTCTTTAACTTACTCTGCACATACTTTTTGTGTTCTTTCAATGGTTGGTTTCATTTAATGTTTTTATAATCAGGATGTGCTAGAAAAAATTCTGGTTACATAGATGTTTTAATCTTGCCTATGTGTATGAAAAGTGAATTTATATGTATTGTCTGACAACATTTGCAATAAAAATCTAATTATAAAGACATGCTGTTACAGAAAATGTATTAATCAGATGGTTTCTTTGACCAGTCGGAACTAAACAATGAAGACCTTTCATCAATAGCAAGACACAAATGTTTTCAAATCAGTATTTTCAGTTATTTGCTACCAAGAAAATGTAAAAAAAAAAATCCCATCTATTCAACATTTTATATGTGACATTCCAGAATCTGATGTTTCTTTTTGTATTAATATTAATTTACTAAGTGAAGTAGTAGCATTGGAAAAATACCTTAAAAGTCTGGACCTGACAAAACTAGCACCTGATAAAATGCATAATCCTTATTTGAAGGGTCCAATGAGAACCTGTATAAATTGTATTGACTTGTAGTACAGTACAGTCAAGTATCTTTCTTGCAACTAGTCTATTTACATGTCCTTTGCTTTCTTTTAAGACACTTAAAGGGTCCTGAAGGTTCCTTTTAAGTACAAGGACTATACCAAACGTCTGAATGAGTTTCTGTCCCCAAAAGTACAGACTAAATACAAAAGAGTGTCACTGCAGATACCTTATATATATATAGATGTGTAACAAAATGGAAGCTAATGCTTGATGTTAAATTGTATTTGCTGTTATAAAGTCAAGGTTGTAAGTGAAAACTCAGCAGTAGACTGTTTGGCTGCAATCCGCACAAACTGAAATGCATGTTATTTCCTTAAATCAGGCTGAAAATGGGATGAAAGTTAGGATTCCTGGCAGCTAACCATAAGTTTGAAGGTTTGCTCAAATTCAAGGGTTTGGCAGGTGAGCCAGAAATACTATAAGAATAGATTTAATCATGCTACTTATGACTTCTTCCAGAATAAATAACTCCCTTGAGTGCTTTTGCATCTGAAAGCATTCCTTATTTTTGTGGTGCTGTGTGAGTGCTACACATTTTCGGCATGCAAGATGGCTAATTTGGTTTAGAGTACAATTGAATTCAAAATGTGTAAGATTTTAATTATGGTGCCATTTAAATTCAGTTTAGGCCTATGTCTTTTACTATCTAGGACTCCTTTCAGGAAACAAAACAAAACAGAAAATCTGTTCCTTTTTAATGCAGTCTGAACAACCATTACTTCACAGTGCACTCTGCCATTTTCCTTTCTTCTGTCCCTCTAAGAAATCAATCTTTAGTTCTTCAGTACCTTGACATTAACTCCTGTTGCTTCCATTTGCAATTCACCCTCTCCTTTGGGCCACATTTTCACTTATTATTGCCTCACATAATAGAAAATGGAAGAGAATTGTTTTTGGAGGGAGCAGACTTCCAGAACTAGATAGTTCTTTGAAGGTATGCCCCTCTTCATAACTATCTAAGAAGAAATCAGAACCTCCAGATGTTTTTCTATGTTTTATTTCCTAGGAATTGCTGAAAATCACCCTGCTGAGGAGAAAGAAAATGAGAGGGAAGGGTCATCAGCAAAATGAAAATTGCACCATTGAATGGATCCCACAGCAGGTATTCTATAGCCCATCCAATACGTTTCAGTGATGTTCAAAGTAGAAAGCTATAGAGAATATTGTATGAGGCATCACATTGTGTAAATTTCTCTATAATTAAGTTTATTTTGCTGTTCTATGCATTCTTCATTTTTTTAAAAATTTGATTTAATTTATTTTAATTCAGCAACAAAGCTTACAATGCCATGTGCTACACCGCGTTCTAATTTAGTTCAAGAATTCCTATTTGCCAAAATATTATGGGCTATATCATGCCATACATGTTTAAGCAGTATCCTCGCCTGAAATCAAACAGGAAGGTTAGTTAAAAAATGCTGTTTGAGTTTGCCATGTGAAGGTGATTCTCAGCAAGTAAACTCTGTGAATTCAAATTAAATTTTCTTAATGAGGTCTGCAGTACTTCCCCTTCCCCCTCTTTTTAAAAAGCAATCTGTTATCATGAATAGAGATAAAAAAAGTTATATGCAATTTCAAGAACCCTTTCTCCCACACTGTCAGAGATTTCTAATATCTTTTTAAAATCTCTTCTAGGTTGACCTGTTTATATTATTCTGAATGTACTTATTGTCATGGCACTGAAGTGCTTTTCAAGTTTCTTCAAGTCCAGAAGAGCGTTTTCTAAATCAGCTCTGTTTGTTCAGTCTTTGGTGAATCTGTAAAGAGAGCCAGTCAGGTCCCTAATCAATGCCAACAAGCAATTCAAATTTTATAATGTGGACATTTTTCCAGCAGGCACGGAACAGAAGCTGTTAATTTCTTCGATCTGCAGCCTATCAAACAGTTATCAGATGGTGATTATAACAACTTGGGACTGGATTTAAACCAGTGGCCTAGGATGAAAGGATCTGTGAAGCTGTAGTATGCTGTGAAGCTTTCTGTATTGTGCAGCTTTGTGTTGTCTGCCATTTTTTACTCTACAGAGATATTTTTTAAAAAACTTAATTGTGTCAAACTGGTCTAGATTATCAAAATCATTCAACATCAAGAGCTGAACACAGATTGCAAGTACCTAAGCAAAATGCTTAGACTTCCAGCAGAGCATACCACCTGACCAACTCTGCCTGTACAAAGTGATACATTAGAAAATTTGCTGACCTATTTGCTTGCCTAAATATGTGGAGCTACAAGTGTCTCCAAAAACTGAACTCTAGAGTTTGTAATTAAATTCCTTTAAAGGCTTTCAAGTCCCTGCAGTTAGCCCAGCTTATTGTTACAGCTCACATTCCTGTAAACAGAGTAAGAATGGGAAGTAAGGTTATCATTCCAAGAAATATTTTGCTATTAAAAAAATGGAGGCATAGATTCCCATTTGCCTTAATAATGCTGCAACATAAACAGAGACAGCAGTAGGCCAGTATTTATACTAAAAAAAAAGGGAGAAAAAAGAAGATCCCAGATGGTGACAGTGAATCAGCTGATTTTAGAGAGGTTCTTTGGAAAACAACAGAACTATTAGATGCTCCATACTCTGGGGGAAACGAGGTGGATTGTCGTTGACATCAGTCAGCGTGATGTTCACGGTGGTAGTCCCTGATAGTCCTCCCATCTGGCCTCCCATGTCTTTGGCCTGGATGACTACTTGATACTGTTCCCTGTTTTCTCTGCTCATGTCTGGTAAAGCAGTCTTGATTATGCCTTGGAGAAGAAAGAAAAAGAAGAGACAGAGAGGTGAAGGAGAAGAAGCATCACCCACTTTAATCTCAGAGTTTTTAAATGGATTCATGTAAGATATACTGTGCAGATGTTAGTCCATAGCAATCAAAAAAAAGGTATACGGCAATAAGCCTTTCAATCTGTTGCTGATTTAATGTGATTTTAAGAAAAAAGAGAAATAAATGTAACAGAGACATTATTCACTGTTTGCGATGTGCTAAATCAATTTAATTATTCTTTCAATGACAAAAATATAAATATATATGTTGAATTAATTAAATTTTTCAGCTACTATCCCCAGTTATTATTTTAATGCATTATGTTATCTCCAGCCCTGGTGAGGTTTTGATATTATAGCACAAGGCTGAACTCTAACATACCCTAGATTAATTCTTTTGGACTGTAATAGATCATAGATTTTAATGCCCAGTGATGGCCACTGTAAGTCAGCTAGGGGTATAGCTAATAAAAGAAATGGACAAGACTGTAAAATTAGTGTTGGAAAATATTTTTTGTGTGTCTGATCTCAAGAATTTCATAAATGTAATTTAAATGTCTCAGACCTTTGTACAGCACACAAAAAGAGTAGGGACCTCAGGTGAGAAAACCAAAAATCCCATAGCCTGAACAGAGAAGTGACCTCAATCCTCCTGGGATCCAGAGCCCAAAAGACCTTTTCATTAAAGTTTTCTTTTAGAAAACCAAGCAGAGTTTTTTTGTTGGTGGTTTTTTTGGTTTTTTTTTGTTGTTGTTGTTGGGGTTTTTTTTGTATTTAGAAGGGTGGTGGCTTTGTAAGGTTGAAGTGATGCGAGCTTTCTCTTGTGAAGTGGGAGAATTTAAATACAGCATCCTTTTTTACTTGGAGGATTCACACCCCTGCCTTTCCTTTCTCAGAAGAAGGCTCTCATTACAAGCTGGGCTTGATATGGAAGCTGTCCTATTTATGCAAAAACAACCCTGGAAAACTCCTACTCCTAGAAAGAGAGTGAAACAAAGAAAAAAAACCACTGTAGTCTAGTGGTTATGATATTTACTTCTGATACAGGATTACCTGGTTCTGATTATAGTACCTAGGCTTGTTAATATATATAACATTAAAAAGCAAATTGGATAAAAATGAAAGATAATCCCAGAACCAAAGATGAGAGCCAGGTCTCCCCCAAACCATCTGCCTGCCTAACCACCTGCTGTCATCAGTTAATGACCGTGTGGTACTGGTCCTGTTTCCCTGCTCATGCCTGGTAAAGATGTTTTGAGTAGGGAATTGGAGAAAAGAGAAAAAGGAGAGACATAGGAAAAGGTGTAAAAACCCCAAACACTCTAGTCCTAGGCAAAGTCATTATGCTCCCTTTTAAAACTGTAGACATGTGACTCTTATTATCTTTTTGATATAATGCCCTTGCTTTGAAACAATAAATTGTTTCAAAAGGAAATTAACCATCGTCTGAGCATGCTCAATAGATTAGGAACTTCAGGGATTCTGGGCACAATTGCACTTAAATTCTGGATTCTCAAATCAGAGCAATTTTGATAACATGCAGGAACAAGCTAATGCAACGCTTGCTAAGTCTTATGTGCATGAGGATTAGGTATATGGAGCGGGGGAAAGTGATGTTGTTTGTTTCTTTTTTGAACCCCAATTTTGGATTATAGATATCCAAAGTTCACACAAGTTTTCCTTCTTTGTGTCTGTCTCTTATCTGATTTCCTGCATAACAGTGAAAAGGGCTTCCTTTCATGTTTTATAACTTAAAAGCATTAATGCTTCTTGCTTCAATTCTGATAGCTGCAGAGTACAGTTTCAAAAAGCATCTTGAGTTAAAAATTGTCAACGGTCAAGAATTTATCACAAACTTTTAGAAATAATTAATTTCCCTTTGGGGATATTTTTTTACCTTATGGTCTAAAATTGTCCAGCTCCTTTTTTCTGTTCTTAAAGACAAACAGATGAAATTCCCAGAAACTGGTGTAAAATAAGCTTTAATACCTTCATGATTCTTTAGACCCTTTACTATATTCTAAAAAATGTTGACCTTTACAGTTAACAGTCGTCTTCCGGAAATCTTATTCATACCAAGTAAAGCAGTTCTTCTTCTGCAATAATGTTAACAAAAAAAGGTATACTTTTATTGTGATTCCAGTTTCCATTTAGAAAAAGTGTATCAGCTTTGTGCCAAGTCATATGATGCCATGCGCCTGTTCCAATATTTAAACGCAAGTGAAAAGTGTCTTGATCCCTGCATCTTGTCTCTGTCATTGCAAAAAGTAAGACTGAATGAATTGCTAACCTGTTTCTGGATCCACTGAGAAGTATGGCTGTCCCTGGAGGATGCTGTACACCACTTTGGCACTGTTTCCGTAGTTGGCATCATCAGCATCTGTGGCTGTCACTTGAATAACAGATGTACCTAAATGGGTACCAAACAAGGAATCAGCAGATTTTAAGAAGGCACCTACTTGTTATAAACAACACATAGTGGTTTCAGTATTGAATTCAGTAAAAAAATCAAACAGCATCCAGTGGACAAATCCAGTGTTATCCTACCCAAGCAAACAGTAAAATAGTGTCTCATCTTCCTCGTGACTAAAACTAGAATCATTATTGCTTAAGTTTCATGCTTCAGTTAAACATGAGTAAACAAATATAGATTGACACATGTCTTTGAAACCCAACACAGCATTAGGTTCTTTTGGTGATCAAACAGGTTTGAAGATTGTTCTCTGGTAATAACATGACCTCAGTTGAAACTGTTCACTCAAAAGGTAGGTAGCTGCTGTGTGAAAAGTACCATTGTGATTCTTAAGTTTGGCGTATTCAGTAAATTAACCTAAAGCAAATTTCCTCATACTCATTTTCTGCTTAGATCACAACCTCCAAATACCTGAAGTCAGACTGAATAAAAAATTTTGTCTCATCCTAAATAATTTTTAAGAGGTTTTTAAAAAGTTGACTTGGTTTTGCAATAAGAAATTCTGGGGTTTTTTCTCTCTTGATCAAAATTGTCCACCTACTTGGCAAATAATTGCCATTAAACGATAACTACATTTTTTAAACATTTACTTATTTTGCATGAAAAAGGCTTATCTATGTCCTGTGATCACAATGAGGAGGATATAAGCTATATGGGATTAAGAACACTGTGAGCCAACACATTTGGTGTAGTTTATGGTTTAGAAGCAAATGAAAGCTTCTGCAAAGCCCTTCTTATAATATATATAAAAGGACAAAACTGTTCTTCACAAGCTTTTATTTCTAAGCAATTTTCAAGATGTCAGGATACATTTTTCTAACACAATCTAGAGCTGACAAATGTCTGGATAAATACAGGCAGTCTAATAGCTAGAAGTGTAAAGGTCCTTAACTCCTTGCCAAGGGCAGAAGGCTGACTGAGAAGCAGCTCTTTACCCTATTTTTGTCTGAGTATTTTTATGTATCTCACTTTCCTTAGAAGAAAAAGGTCTACTGAACACTGTCCATTTAAGTGATATCATTTCCTATTTCTTTTTTTCTTCACCCTCAGCCTTTCTAGATTGAAGTTCACCCAGATAACTTGCAGACAAGTATCTGTCTTGACCATAAATTTAGAAGATGTTCATTTACCTGTGACTAATGGAATTGAAGTGAATCATCTCTACTGTCGCTTTTCAGTGTATTCAAGGGATTGGAGAAAGTAGAAATCCAGAGTAATCAAAACAGATTTATGAAAGCACATGTTACTATTAGGTCCTGTTAGATGCATCTGTTTTCTCATAGTATGTAATACCGCTTTAGACATAATAATTTTACCTACATAATAGTAACAATTCCTACTGTTTCAGGTTATCTGAACAGCATGACAAGAGGGCAGGAATACTTCTTTCTCTGAAACAAACCAGCAGAATAAAGTTGTAAAAATGCTTTGTCACAATTCATCCAACTGAAGAGGATTTTTGCCATCAGCAATCTAGATTACTTTTTGCCTGGTTAAACAGTTAGAGGTCATCTGTGTGCCAAGCTGAGCTGTAAAGATAATCCTGAAGAAGTGAATATTTAAGGACAATTTTATCACTAACAGAGTCTAGCAGAACTGCTCATCTGGATAAAAAATGAAGATAGTTTTTTGAGAAATGTAAAGTTCCATGGGTCTTATCTGCTTTCAAAAAAGCAAATAAGTTGAATCCCATGCCTCCTCAAGACTAACAGGGAGAGTCAATATCACTTGCTAGCCTATAAAAATGTAAAATTAGTCAGTAGAATCATATGCTTACATTGTGTGCCACTGTAGCATCTAGAAGTTAAGAATCAGGGGAAATGATTCATCCCATCCTCCCCCCAAAAAACCCAAAATATCTTCATCAGGAAAACATATTGCTGTGGCTTCCTGTTCTAGGCACTGTCTTGGGATGGACACAAAGTTTGAGTATGATCATAACAACTGAATGCACATTAACTTCCTTTTCCTAGTGTACTGTTTTGATGAAAAAAAGAATGCTGAAGCCTGCTTTGAGAATGTTTTTTTAAAAATTCTTTTTTAAAGAAAGGCATTTCAGAGCTCAGGGCAGTCTTTGGGAAATTTCTGTCTTTGTCTCATTGGAATGTATATCTTTGTTGCCTGAGGCTCAAGTGCCATGTAATTATGGTTGCTGAGGAGAGTACAGAAGCTGTAACCCTACAGAAACTTTGGAGGTCACTAGCAGATAATTCAAGTGGGTCTTATATAGAATGAGATCTCATTTTAGTTTGCAAAATATCAATATTTTCTTTTATTTGTCAAATTCTGTAGAGTGATGAAAAAATAGTGTTATAATAGTTGCTGCTTCCTAGTAAACCAATAGTACAATTGTAAAAAACAATTAACAAAAGTGTATCCTCAGGAGATTTATTACCAGCATGCAGTTCAGTCTTTTCTCTGCCAACAGTCTGCTGTGTCATAAAGGAGGATCCTCACGAAAAATAGGCAATGCTTGTGCAGCTTTTTTTTATGAGGAAAGAAACTTCTCTTAGCTTTTGGGGTCGAAATTAAACCAGGAAAGGCAGTGAAATAAAGGAACTCAGCACTAATTACAAAGTAATTGGTAATGAGTCAAAACCAGATTGGATTTTTTTAATTAAAGACATCTATGCCCTATCCTCACCCCCACCTGAATGGTACCCACAGAATGTGGATGTATTTATTCATCTGTTTATTTATAATCTAGATTACCCCACAAGCAGCCTTTTGCCCACATTTGTCAGCAGAAGTCAGCATGATTTAAAATATGAATCAGGCTGCTAGGTTAAAAATTAGAAGCTTTCTGAGATACTTCCACAGCTGCCAACATAAACAGGAATGAGAGAGTGAAGTAGAGCCTGGGAAGAATTGGGGTGGGGGGGAAGGTGTTTTAGTTTATGTCTTTGTTTCTCACCATCCAACTCTATTTTTAATGGGCGATAAATTAAATCAATTTTCCCAAGCCAAGTCTGTTTTTCCCCTGATGGTACTTGGTAAGTGATCTCCCTGTCTTTTTTTCAATCCATGAGCTTTTCCATCTTATTTTTTCCCACTGTACTGTTGAGGAGGAGGAGTGAGAGAGCAGCTTGGTGGGCCTCTGGCAGCCAGCCAATATCAACACACCACATGAGCAAACTGATGTGAAAGATGACAGAGAAAATGTGAGAATGGCTACAATAGCAGTCTAAGGAGTAATAACATCACTTTTCTGCAAAACAAAGTGAACTTCAACCCAATCCTACCCAGCAAGCCTATCCCATCTCAGGATGGGAACTAAGTCTCAGAGTTCTCAAGAGGTAAGTCTTATTTTCTTTTCCTTTCTTTTTAATTTTTCTTTTTTTGTTGTTTGTTTTGTTTTGTTTTGTTTTGATGAATTCTCAGTACTTCTGTCACACAGCTTGCAGATTGTTTTGTTGGCTTTGTCTGTTAAAGATTCTCTCTATGCCTGCATACAATGAGCAAGGAACAGCAGTTTGCTGAATGTGTTGAATTTGCCAAGCTTTATGAGTGCTATAGCATCAGCATTAATTTTTTTTTTCCTTTTCTTCTTTGCTTAGATATACATTTGAGTCTGGAAGCTTAAGCACTTTGACAACATATCTGTGATGGATGGGGTCCTAATGTAGGGATGGAAAAATGCAGAAGGATAATTGTGAAGATAACCTGAGAGAAGACAAATCTAGACTAAATCTGTGTAGGTAGTGTCTTTGTGTGCGTGTGTTTGTGTGTGCATATGAATGCATGTATGTGCATGCAAGAATGTAGAGTCCAAAAAGGAAAACTTAATTAGAGAGGGTGTCATTCCATATCTAGGTCAGTATATCTCAGTGTCAGAACTGAGTCCCACTGAAACAGATTTCCAGAACTCATGAAGAGTGAGACATACATTTGAAAAAGCATTTGAAATCAGAATGCTTTTCTGAATTATGTCAAAAATGCTTTCTCTTTTTTTGTGCTGTTTGGTCTTTGAAAAAGTCCCTCTAGTATAATTAGGTCTCCTAGCACGATATTGGAGTGCATTGAAAAGTTGAAGTAAATAGCCTGCAGAGGATTGCTGTAGTGCAAAATGGGTCTTCCTCTAGATGAGATAGGCACACATTTTGCTACCTTTTCATGTAAAGTCATAGTCTTCAGCATGCAACTCTTGTTCCTACTTGGCTTATTTGCTTGGCATGAATTAAAACAACTTCTGCCAGTCACAAGAATATATCTGCGTCTATTTGAAAATGCTATTGTTACTGATAACTTTTTCTGTAACCTTCATTTTGAACAATATTGTCCAGCTTGGGTGAAGAAAATGAGCAGATTATGTTGTTAGCATAGTGTGTTTCAAGATTCTACCATGAATTCTGGATCAAAAAATGACAGACAGTTATTTAAATATCATTCAGAACCATGACATTTCTTTTCCAAAGGGAATTCTGTAACTTCAAAATGCATTTTGAGTTTGATTCTGATTTTTTATAAAAGTAGGATTTCAGATCAATTCAAACTTTTAATTTTAAGAAAAAGTCATAGAATCATAGAATTGTAGAATGGTTTGGGTTGGAAGGGTCCTTTAAAGGTCATCTAGTCCAACCACCCTGCCATGGGCAGGGACATCTTCAACTTGATCAGGTTGCTCAGAGCCCCATCCAACCTGACCTTGAATGTTTCCAGGGATGGGGCATCTACCACCTCTCTGGGCAACCTGTTCTACTGTTTCACCACCCTCATCATAAAAAATTTATTCCTTTTATCTAATCTAAATCTACCCTCTTTTATTTTAAAACTATTACCCTTTGTCTTGTCGCAACAGACCCTTCTAAAAAGTTTGTCCCCATCTTTCGCATAAGCCCCCTTTAAGTACTGATAGGCCGCAATAAGGTCTCCCCGGAGCCTTCTCTTCTCCAGGCTGAATAACCCCAACTCTTTCTTCATAGGAGAGGTGTTCCATC